AGGAATGTGTGCTCTGTTCCCATTAAAATATTTTAAAGAGGTGATACAAAAAGTTATTTTAGGTAAAAGCTTCCAGAGCGACTTTTAAAGGAAAGGCAAGAGGGAACTCAAAAGCATTTTAAACACTCCAAAGGCAGTAGTAGCACATGATTTAAGAACAGTTCATTGAAACTCAACAGTAAAGGATCAAGGAAAGGGGGATACAAAGCCTCAGGACACACAGATCTTTCCCCAACTTCCACAGCTGCAGGGAGGGGTCATGTCTTCACAGGTCCCTTCCAACCCTTGAAATGTCTTCCACATTTCAAGGACAGGTAAATAATTAGAGTTGAAACTCTTCTGAACACCGGACAGAATAAGCTTGGCATGGTGGTGGCTACACAAGGACACTCCCCTGCCTTGGAACAAAACAGGCACAGATGCCACAGCACTAACTTTTAAAATCCTTCAAGTCATCACAGAATTTATCTTGCCCTTTCTTCCACCTTCTCATTCAAAACATCTCTCATATCAAAGCAAGGAGACACTTCCAAGACCAGAAACTGACAATCTCGGGCACATACATTTCAAAAACCCATTAACTCATCCTGAGCTCACTTTAAGCCATTGATTTAAAGCATCAGAAAAAATTATCATGTAATTGTCAGAATATTCATTTGTTTTTAAATGTTAGAGAGCCATACTCCACTACAGACTCTACACCACAATTAAAGGCACCAACAAACCAATCAACCTTTCATAAGTTCTTTTATCATCTGCCAGAGCATTTTAAATATAATGAAGACCAAAAGGACTGCAACCACCTGATCCTTGATCTTGCTGAACAGTTGTTCAACCAATTCATGTGCACACTTGGTCTCAGTGCTGGGAGGTGTCAGCCCGAAGAAGGCCAGGGTGAAATTCAGGAAAAGGGACTTGTCTCCCATGGCCCTGGCATTGCCAATACAGAGTGGAAATGCAAGGTCAGAAAGGAGGCTTTAGCCAGAGGCCTCTCTCCAGAGATCTTCACAGTATCAATGACTTGTCTCAACAAATATATGTCACCCACTAAGTTGTGAAATATTTTAACACAAGCAAGTTCAAATATAAATGAAGGTTAATATCAGGCATCAAACAAGTGGTAAGAGGCATAAAAACTAAGCCTACACTGAAAGGAAAGGAGTCACGTCTGGTAAGAGAAGTACTGCAAGTCCTTCTTGGACTACTATCTAAATGTCTTGTATTTTGAGCCAAAAAGCTCCAGCTCGAATTCACAAGCAAGGAGGTAGAATCTATCAATCAATAATCAGTATCTGCTAGTGAAAACCTGTTCACTGAGGCTTCATGCACAAGAACTCTGACAGTGACTAGGTGCCTTGCTTTGAAAAGAGGGATGGGAAAAAAGCTCTGGTTTTAATAAAGACCAGATGCTTTTAAAAGGCTGATTCCCTGTTGTCCTAGTTTGCTTTGCAAGATGAACCTTCTGTATTTATTACCTTTGTTCAGAGACCTAATCCAGCATGTAACTCATGTATGTAACCAAAATTTTGGTTTCTCAGGAGAGGTGTTGTCCTGACTTCAGCAAGCACAAGTAGACAGCATATCATTAAGAAGGCTGCAAAATATGATGCAGAATTCTGAAAGAAAAACAGCAAGAAATGTGCACATAATGGCACACAATTAATGAGAAAATGTTTACCATTAAATTTATCACCTTGGCCCTCTTGACAGACATATTTACAATTAAAATATTCATAAAATCTGAAGATAACTTGTATGAACACAAATCTCTTCTTTCAACTTACAGCAGCCACTGAGATAACAACGTCCATTTTATGCAGTTCAAGTCCAAATATAAGTCAAATATGCATCCCTGTAAAGCAAACTGTTAATTCTATTCCAATTAAACACTCCTTAACAGCAAAATTAGGGCTAATCATTACATGAAAGACACCCCAATTTAGTACAGAAGACAGTGTCTTAAACCCATATTTGCAAAATTATTTTCATTTCTATACAGGCAAGGCTACAAAAGCATGCAGAAGAGAAGCATACACTCAGTAATGACATAAAGGAAACAGCAACATTCATGAATTTATAAATTAAGGTGTGTGATCAATTTCCAAAGTATTTTCCCACCTACAAGATGTCAGGTGCCTAATGAGCTTTAGGAAAAAAAAAAGGGTGGATGCAAAGTCTTGCTACCTAACTTCCAGTTAAAACAACTTTAAAAGTTGTTTCGAGGTGAAATCAAAGCAGTTTGTATGTAGACGAACTCTAGAAAACACTATCATTTCCAGAGTAACTATCATGATTCCTCTGAATATGCACCATGCACAAGACCATCACAACATTTCACAGATGAGCTTAAAAAGCCAAAGTCCAAAAACCAACAAGAACCAACCCAGAATTCAACATTTTCCACATTTGTACAATTTATTACAAAACTTCCATGAAAATTAGTGTTATGGTATATAAAAAATTCAGTACATGCCATCATTCAGCTGACAGATAAAAATGCCTGTGACAGAAATTCTTGCAATCAATATTTGAGGCCTGAAGACAAATCTTCAGAGTCATCCACAGAAGTTGCTGGCATGCAGTGTTTACAGTGTGTTAAGGCACGATGATTTAGAAAAGTCAGCTTCTTTACATCACTGGTGAATCATTGGTGCCACGTATATTTTCCCCTCCATCACACAAACATAAATCACCAGAGATGAAGCTTCAAAAGTAACCAAAGCACAGAGAAAGTTATGAAAAACTGATACAATGCACAATGACTTAAAATGGCAAGTGAAAGTTTCGATACTGTGCAAACACAAGTTTACTGTAAACAGGCCACAAATTCTTTTAGTATTAATCACGAAACTGTTCAGAACAACCAGACCACAATGAACTCCTTAAACCCATCACAACAACTAGGCCAAACTGTACCAGTTCCGGTATAAAAAGGTATAGGAAGGATAATAAAACCAGATATAAGTATGAAGACAGTGTCACCAAAAGAATAAAAAAGATACAATATAACTTGATTAACATTGAATAGATATAACAAGTCAGTTCACGACACGATCTTCAGACTGTGCATGTGTTTTAACGCAGGTCTCGGTCTGTGGCATCCAGCCTTTGCCTTTGAACGTTACCCTTCGGTCAAAGAAAACAGAGCACCCATCCACTTAGAGAACTGTACACTGCTGGAACAGAAGTGGAGAACAAAAAGCATTAGAAAGGACAAACTCTCAGCACTGTCAGACCGTTTGGGGCAGCCTGACGCCCTCTGAGCAGAGCAGCGTGATCCAGGGATCAGGGCATTTCAGTTACTGCATCACAGGGACCCGCAGCAAACTATAACAGCCAAGTCAGATGCAGTTTGGCCCCAAACATTTGTTACAAATGTCTCATAAGAGCATATAAATGAGAATCTATTTTTAGTTACATGCTTTCTTAAGCACTCACACCCCACTCTGCCTGCAAGAATACAAGCACTGTCCTACAGCTCATCTCCACAGGAACGCACACAAGAAACCAGCCTCAGCCAGCCTCTTATCTGAAGTGCTGCTTCTGGTGAGGAAAATGAAAACCACTTCTCTAAATTCCCTGTTCTCTAAATAGGGCTAAAAGTAAGCAGCAAGTCTGATGTCATGCACAAACAACTCTTACGACACTGCTTACATGAAACAGGAAAGCAAACAGATTTTTTTTTAGCATCTATACAGCAGTATTAATGTGGCTGAAAGAAGAGACCCATCTGTAATTTCAAAAATAACTACCAATTTTGGATGTCTCTGTAGCTACTTGCCAGCTGAAAATGCTGCTACAAAGTAAGTAGAATTCCAGCTTTCCTTGAAAACTGGGCCCTGCTTAAGGAGCTATGTCAGATTTAAAACTTGGGAGACACCTCAAATTCTCCAGTCCCAAAAATACTCATTCCCAAGAGTAAAAAAAATAGCTTCATCTAAACACTCATCTGGATGGTAAAAAGAATTAACCCGGAAAACATTGTTGATGGAAAACATTGTTGTTTCAACTCATTAGTAAAGTACAGTGCAGCATTCATCAAGACTATACTTGCTAACTACAGCTGGGATAAGCAGCAAGGAAAAGCTGACAACAGGGTCCTTTGCTCTCTGCCATTCTCACAGTGGCAATTCTGTTCAATACGCAATTACTTAACATGTTAAGGAGGCCAACTTCCCATAGCGACCAGAACAAGCAAACCAGCACTACAGTTTTAAATACAGAGTCCATACATTGCTAACCAAATTCAATATTCAAATTCAAAATTAACCTTTTGTGATGCACTGCTGCTTCAAGTATGAAAGAGAAACTAAATGTGCCATTTCCTGCCTAACTCTAGCCTGTTACAGAAGACACCTCAAGAGGAGACTGTAACTGGAGTTTGAAGCTGACAAAAAGACTGGAATTTCCAATAAACACGAAGGCTCAGGTTATAAGCACACCTGTGCACTGATGTTACCAGCATTAGCAACACAATATCCACATTTTACCTGCTCACAGAACATACTTGGGCAAATTATGTTTGAGCATTTGCAGTGTGGATTCATTTCACTGCTCTTTCTTCCTAGTCTTATGAGAATATTTTATGATACTTTAAGTTGATACTGTTCTGATTTGAACTCCAGTTTTATTAGACTAACCTTACAGCCCCCTATGCCCCTTTCACCAATTCCTAGCTTTAATAAAAGCCTTTATCTTTAATGTGAATTCATACCATTATTAAAGACATTTCTCCAGTATGCCATTAAAATAAAATTTGCCCTGTAAGTACCTTAACTAGCACTACACATGCCTGCACATGGTCAGACAGCTCAGAATCCAACATTTTTAAAGGTTTCAATAACCTTGGGAAGGGATGGGTTTACCTCCCCCTCAGCTGCTTCCCAGAACACCACTATAATGCAGGGCTACTTGACATCTCTCCATGTACACTTCTGAATTCCTAATGAGAGAAATTTGTTTTATAAGCAGTTATATTTTCTCATTGACCTAAATTCCTTTACTTCAAATAGCACCCATTTTATGTTACAGCTACAGCCTTCTGAGTGTCCAATCATTAGCAAGGGGTTTGAGAAATGGATCAGTACTGGATAACAATGTCCTGTTGTTAGCTAGTTTTGACTAATTTTGTCATTCACATCCCTAATATCATGGGTTTCTGATACTGAAATAATCTTCTGTTAACTTCACTCCTTCAGGTTTGTTCCCTTTCCTTTTGCTGATCTGTAGCAACACTTGGCAACAGCCAAGTATATACTAACATACAAAACTGGCCTTTGAATTGCTTTCCAATGGTTGATTTAATATGCTCATAGTATCCACTATACATACCAAGCTCCAAGGTCTAGACCTGTAAGAAATGTACCCCTGAAAATGTTCCTTTAGCAAAAGGTGGCCTGAAGCATTTCCAAGTCCCCCATGATACCCTGCTAGGCTTTGGCACAAGCAAGATTCTTAAAGAGCCAAACAACAGACAATATTTAGGTACAGGAGGTTTACAGACCTAATACTTTAGACTTGCTTTTCATATTAACATATGACATATTTTCTTCTGTACAACACTTTGCAGATTACCACTTTAACAAAGTGTTGCCTTTTTCCTATTGGGAAGAATCACACAACCTATTTTCTGTCAAAGGCCAGAGATGCTGTGGAACAGCCAAGGTCACAATCCAAGTACAATATCAACTTTTAGTATGTTCTACTTACAATCCAGGAACACGACTGTTTCATCAACTGAGAACAGTATGGACTAATAGGGACATGAAAGATATTTTTAGATTAACAAATTCAAATGAAAGTGTTGTTGTTCTATACATGAAGGATTAAAAGCCATAACATGACTCTGTCATCTAGCTCTCTCCACATTATACATAAAGGCAGGTCAGCACCAGCTACAAGGTGGCTCTTGAGGATCCTGCTAAGATCCTTCTACACAAATTAACTCCAAGGTCCTATGGAGCCACAGGAGTTCAACACTGCAGCTGTACAGCAGAGGAAAAATTACAATTTCTATCAGAAGTCTACCCCCTAAGGGAAACGAAAGCCTGTGCCAGCCCATCAATGCATTCTGCTGAACAACTCCACAGTTAGAAGAGCTGAAAGGAGCTGGAGAATGATGGCGCTCTTCTCTTTTATTTTCTACTCAGAGAAACATCCACTGGCAGTGCCAGGCAATTGTTCCAAATGAGACATTTGCTCAAACTTCACATTCTCTAAGCTCTCAATTTCAGCTGCCAAAAACTACAACATGATCTTTACTTCCTCAAATGACACTTCTCATCAGATCAATTCAGCATTCAGCAACACCATTTCAGCAGGCTGGTTGCTATGACAATGCTTTGTGTTGTTCTATTAAATGATGTCAATTCACTGGTAGAAAGAACTAGCTGTTTGGTTCCTCTAGTACAGTTCCTATCAAGAATCAGAACAGTGTAAGTGAGCTCAAGACACTTCAAAATACTTGTGGAAATCATGAGCTATATAAAAAGAATTTTCAACATCCTACAGATATTTTAAGTGGGAGATGCTTGGGGTTTTTTGCTGAACACATATACCTAATCATAACTGCATTTCCAGCTGGCTATGTTTGTTTTCCACAGCCTGGCTTCTGCTCCCGATTTGTCTCAGTGTGATCCTCAAGCTGAGTGAAGACAGACAATCCAGATTTATGAGAATAGCAAGAAGAAAACAGATCCCAAAAAGCTACACTCTAAGAAACAGAGAAGGAAAGGGAAGAAACACCCATCAATAACCATCCCACTAGAAAAAATAATGCCAGCTTTTCATAATAGTTGATATCTGTAATGGACAAGTTGAGAAACTAGTAAATATGCTGTTGGAATTACTGCAGGCTTAGTTCAAAAGCATTTTGAATTGGGAGTATCCAAATAAAACTAAATCTCTTCTAATTTATTCCACCTCCTCCATCTCCTTCCTCTGCAGTCTTCGTTTGAATTGTCAAATATAAGAAGTTTCTATATTTCATGGCAGTCTTGCAATTTAGAAAAAAAAATCTGAAAAAATCACGCTTGTCTTGAATGCTTTACCATGCTTCACATGGCCTGCTATCAACACCTTCACATGCACAATTGTTACACAACAGCTATTAATTGTTTAGAGCAGACAAAGCATAGCTCAACACACCTTTGTTAGGGCTGCTCTCCAAACTCTAAATCACCACCACAAAAAGTCTGTACTCACAAGCTTTTGTCAAAAACCACAGCTGGCACACTGGTCACTACTGTTTCCAAAATCATCTCCCTTTCCTACTTCTAACCCAGTCTCCACCAGTGCTCTTCTTAATTCCCCTTCAGTTTTCTACTTCTCCACAGCAAGCAATCTGTCCATTCTCTTTGGAAACTTTTCCCTATGTATAATCTTTGCCTTTGTCACTCCCTTTATGCTCCTCTCACTCTTTACTTGAAAGTAAACTGCTTGAAGCAAGTTCTCCTTTCCCTCCTTTCATAAAATCTTAAAGATTCAAAGGGATCAGGCAAACCAGACCTTCCAGTCATCCCATTTGTGTTGCCCTTTATGGTCATACAGACTTGCCTTTCTGGCAAGGATTTGAGTTCTTAATTATGAAACACCAGACTCTTTCCAGAAACCCTCAAAACATTCAGCAATCTTCTCCACACTCCAAAATACATCTGAAACTAGAAGTGGAATGTTCTCTTCACACTCCAAAATACATCTGAAACTAGAAGTGGGTATTTCACATACTTGGTATTACCACATAGCATTATTCTACTGTTTATTCTCCAGCTCTTATCTGGAGAGGTATTTACAACATACTTCTTTTTCCAAAAATACCTTAAAATCTATGCTTTATGAAGCTGAAAATATTTTAAGGGGCTTTTGAATAAGTATTAAACCAAAATAAAAAGTGTATAAATGTGGATTTTTACATAAGTTATCTATGAAGTTACGTATTTTTCTCTGCATAAAGATAAGGGTGCAAAGGAACAATGGGAGGAGACTGCTTTCAGTAGCAGAGCTGACCCTTCAAAGTTCTTGTAAAACTAGAACCTGAGAGATGCTCAAGATAACCTGTGACAGAACAAAAAGATTGGTATCAAGTATATTTAAATTTGTTGGTAATTTGGTTCTATTAACTCCTGCGTTAATTACAAGTTTCCTAGTTTCTCTGGAAATAGTGAGTTCAACAAAATACAGCAAATACATCTGCTGGGAATGCTGGAGGTTGAAATCCTCATTCCTCCTAAAATGCAAAGTCAACTAACATGCATGCCCTAAGGCTAAGTTCTAGGTGAGGATTCACTTCAACTGCTGACAGAATCACACAGCAACACTCTGGTTCTGCCACTGCAGTTCTGATTGGGCATATTAGCCAAAATATTATGCTAAAAGCCTACCAATCAATATCTCAAGAGTAGCAGAAACACATTTAACAGAACCCAAAGAAACAGCAGGACCTTCACATATGAAATTCTCATTCAAATTCTAGGTACATTTGTTCATGTTTGATATTTCAGACCAACTAACTTCCTGAAGACTTAGTTCAAACTAAACTACAAGATCGTGTGGATGCTTAGTTAAATCTGGCCAGCTCTCCTGCTTAACACATTTAGTGGTCCAAGATGTATTCCAGATTAGCAATGTAAAGTAGCTACAAAATACCATTTCAATTGGAGATACATGAGCCTGCTCAGAATTCTGTTTATTTATGTATCCATGGCTGCAAGTTCAGGCTGGGACAAACTATGCTCCAGTTTGTGTTTATGAATACCCAGTATTGCCAGAAGCTGTGAAACACAGGGAATTCTGGTGCCATGAATGGCTAACCATTAGTGGGAATACTGCATCCTATTAGCCCTCAGACACTGATTTCACAGCAAATCCAGTATCTAGGAACTGAAGAAAGAGCTCTGAATCATTTGCCATCCTGTGCTTTGCGTGCAACAGCTATGGACAAAGCCTGTTGGATTTCGGGTGATTTTCTTCTTCCTAAGTATCAGTTTAAAGGATGCCATACGATTAAATGTGAGATGTAAGTCACAGAAAGAACCAAGCATTTTTTTAATTATTTTTTTTTTTTCCTCAAAAAAGCAGTAACAATAACTTACACTACCTAAGGTTTCCTGCATCAAACAGCTGTTTTCTCAAGTGATCAAAGTTTGGCCATATGACAACCAAGTCACCATGAAAACTTGGGACTTCAGTTCAAACTGAAATATTTAAACCAGCTCATGCCTTGGGAAGTGAGAGCATTTTGTCAGACACTGCTATCACATACCCTGCTGGGTTGGCCACAAAATTAGCCTCAGTGTTGAGATTTCCAACTCCAAGAAAATATATCTTAGGATGGAAGTTCGAAGACATGATCTAAAGACTTGGAATTATGACAGTAAGAAACCTGAGTCTGCATTATTCTTTCCCCTTAACTACTTCACTCAAAGATCACAGTGCACATACCAGTAAAACCATCAACATCTGCTTAAATAGGAATCCAGTGAACAAGTTTATTCCTTAGAAGACTTTTTCTCTTTTTCTTTTTTTTTTTCTTCTTAATATAAACAGGAAGACTGAAGGTTCAAATAAAGGCAACAAAAAATCTCCTTATTTTAGGCTTGGAATGTTGGCAGCTGCCACAAGGTCATAAGGGATAATATAATCCATTTTATTCAAGCTTTACATTCCAGAAATAACTGAAATAAACTGAAATATTAAGCAACAAGACTCCTCATATCCTTCTATTTTTTTACTATTGCATTTAAAAGCAAAATTCTTCAGAATGCAGGTATTCTGGCATAAAGTATGAATAATTGCTACAAGAACTTTTTTCTTCACTCTGATCCCACCTAATATTTGGTACAGGACATGGGGGGACTCTGTTTCAGTACACATAACCAGTTCATTTAAAATTTTGTTTGGTTCTTCAAAAAAACCTGCCAAAACAAACTCAGCAGCCTACATACCCCAAAACACCCCAACATTTGTTTATATATAGTCCAATTAATTTTCTGAGCAGCTTTTGCTAACAGAAACAAATCCAGATGATGCAAAACCAAAGCACTGAAGATAAGCATTTACAGGTCTTAAAAACAGCTGGAAAGGTGACATCTGCATAGATATTTTTTTCTAGTCTACTTAAATCACTCAATTTTCTCTCTAAATACTGTAAAACCAAGTCCAAAATTAAAAATAACCATTGTGAAATTCTTATGCAAGGAGTAAAATAGTGAGAAAAGTCATACCTGATGCACCCAGATGTGAGGCATCTTAATCATCACCAGGCTTCATCCTCATTTGGGCTTGCATCTGTGCAATCATCTCCTGCATGCGGCGCAGCTGTTAAGACAAAAAAAACTCACATGTTCAAAACAATTTCATGAGGAATCCAAAATCTAGGTAACTTTAAATCATTTTATTCTACTGCAGAACACAGATCCAATTTGTCTCTTTATAAGTTGGAAATGTTAAATTAATGATTGAATACTTTTGTTTTTTCCATCTCAGATTCTTTAATGTATCGCACCTAACTTTCACAAATAATAAGCAATAAAATCCAAATCTTTGGAAGCCTGCAGACTCGTTAATTAATATTCAATCTACAATAAATAAAACATGCCCTTTATGTGTCTGCAGAGATGTACTGCTCGAGTGAGCTGAAGCAGCTTTGCTCTGATAGAAGTGCTCAAAGCACAGTGTCATGTACGAACACTAATCTTGTGGCTAACCAGATGCTGTGGCTAAAAATTTGCAGTTAACAGCCAAAACTGAAGACAGAATTTAAAGCCTCCTTCAAAAGCAAAATAGAAAAAATACGTTTACAAAATTTGGAAAGACAGACTAAACATATTAAGCACCAATATCTTTACATCTAAACAATGGCCTTTCCTGAAAACAACTGTTTTCTTAAAGGCATTTGCTTATGACACAAACTAGTCTCCATCTCACAAAAGTCCAGTTACATATAACTTGCTATTTTCCCCTCCAAAAATTAGCATTAATTTAAATAAATGTTTCTAAGAAAGAATAAAAAACTATGGATTTTCAAAATGTATATGCAAATACTTCTAATTTGGTTTACAAATAACAAAGTATTTCCTTCCAGATGAAGGTGGGGAAGCTCTACACAGACAATTGCAAGTGACCTGTCTTACAAACTGGAAAAGAAATAAGCTGTAATTTCCAAGCACATTGTATAAAATACGAGTCCACCTCAAGCTGGAGATCATGTAATAATCTGAAGCTTGTATAGCAAGTTTTCATTATTCTAAGAATAATTGTGTAGGATTTAATATACCCAGCTTTTTTCCTCTTTAGGAAAAAGTAGTTAGGGAATTGCTTCCACTCATTTTCAGGGATGGGAGGAGAAACTCTTCAACTCAAGCAACACTGCTGCATTCAAACAAGCACACTGCAATTTTCATCCAGTCAACTACATGAGCTTCTGGGACATTAGTTACTCCATCTGATTCAATACAAAAGGATCTGTGATAAATTCTTAACCATGTATGTGGTGGTGTTTGCCTTTTTTTTTAAAAAAAAAAGAAAAGCAGAAACAAACATCACAGAACAGGGAAAAATGAACTGCAGATGCCTAGATCCCTTTGCCTGGCCTCAGATACAGATTTGGGGATGAGTAAGAAACTGAAGTCCAGAGCTTGCAGCAGAGCCAGAAGTAAGAGCTTGCCTAAAACTAGTCGGTTTATGTACAGGTACCTACTCTCTTGCTGCAGCACCACAGGGCTTAGCAGAGGGCAATTCAGGTTCCTGTGACTGCAGCACAGACACATATACTCTGGCAAAAGGAGATTCACACAGGAACAGTGTGAGATACAGCTAAGTCTGAAATTGTTATTATATACCCATCTACAGCTTTCTGCTAAATGCTTAAAAAGCCCTGATGGCAAAGATGGCATAATGTTGCAGGAAGGAGAAAAAAAAAAAAAAAAAAAATCACCAGAAAGCCACAGAAATGAGAGTTTCATTGATTCTATGGTCCAACACAAGAGTTTTCAAAGCTCAACTTGTAAAAATGTAAGACACCTGGTCTTTTGAATTGCCTCTCTGCAGATTTACCATCAGAACAAAAGTTGCTTTCTGGAAGCTTGCCTACTTGAGCTTTCCCAAGAGCACTCCAAGCTGAGCCATGAAACATTCCCAAAATAGAAATCATTCAGTAATCACAGGGGAAGATGCTGCTGCACATGTATTATGGCAATTGCTCTAACACAGCATCCTGCTATTAGCCAACACTGTATTTTAAAACTCATACACACTGTCAAGTCTTGAGTTTTCTTAATCTTAATTGATAAAAATATGCCCACACATGAAAGAACATCAGATGCTGCCTGTGACTCACAGAATCACAGAATCCTAGGGATTGGAAGGGACCTCGAAAGATCATCTAGTCCAACCCCCCTGCCAGAGCAGGGTCACCTAGAGTACATCACAGGAACATGTCCAGGCAGGTTTTTAATGTCTCCAGTGAAGGAGCCTCCACAACCTTTCTGGGCAGCCTGTTCCAGTGCTCTGTCACTCTCACAGTAAAAAAGTTTTTTTCTGATATTCACATTGAACCTCCTATGCTCCAATTTGCATCCATCACCCCTTGTCCTATCACTGGTCATCACTGAGAAAAGCTAACCTCTATCTTCCTGACACTCACCCTTAACATATTTGTAAACATTGATGAGGTCACCCCTCAGTCTCCTTTTCTCCAAGCTAAAGAGACCCAGCTCCCTCAGCCTTTCCTCATAAGGGAGATGTTCCACTCCCTTCATCATCTTTGTGGCTCTGCGCTGGACTCTTTCAAGCAGTTCCCTGTCCTTCTTGAACTGAGGGGCCCAGAACTGGACACAATACTCCAGATGGGGCCTCACCAATGCAGAATAGAGGGGAAGGAGAACCTCTCTTGACCGACTAACCACACCCTTTCTAATGCACCCCAGGATGCCATTGGCCTTCTTAGCCACAAGGGCACATTACTGGCTCATGGTCATCCTCCTGTCCACCAGGACCCCCAGGTCCCTTTCTCCTACACTGCTCTCCAGCAGGTCAGCCCCCAGCCTGTAGTGGTACATGGTGCTTTTCTTCCCCAAATGCAAAACTCTACACTTGCCCTTGTTGAACATCATCAGGTTTCTCCCCGCCCAACTCTCCAGCCTGTCTAGGTCTCATTGAATGGCAGCACAGCCTTCTGGTGCATCAGCCACTCCTCCCAGTTTAGTGTCATCAGCAAACTTGCTGAGGGTACATTCTGTACCCTCATCCAGGTCGTTGATGAAGTTATTGAACAACACTGGCCCCTGTACCGACCCCTGAGGGACTCCACTAGTCCATTCAAATGTAAGGTAGGACAAAAGCACTAGAGACCTGATCCGCTCTAACATCAAACTTGTAAAAAGACTTTCCTTTTCCATTTTCCTATGGTGTTTTTGAGATCTGCTGGTAGCATGATAGTCTCATCCATTAGCTAAACAATAGCAAGCTTCTGAAGCTATTGTAGCATGATTCTGTAGAAAAACGTTTAAGCAAAAAGCCTGTTAAACTAGACACCCTGATGTCTGCTATCAGCCCCCCTGTCATTGGCTCCCAACAGGCCATTAATAGGTAGAATCATCATTAAAGTTTCCTTTACATAAGGAAAGTTGGCAAAAAGAAAAATATAAAAGCTACTCAAGCACACCTATCTTTTTCACTGCATCTTGGGCTGCATCAGCATTTTGTTTTGGTTTTTGTTTGGCATTAAATATGCAAACAATCCAAAATGGTTGCTTTCTGCTGTAAAACTGTGGCTTCTCAAGAGCTCTAAGGAAACTAACAACTGTTTTGTAACAGTATTCTTAGCAGGCAACCTATGAGTAATGACAGATACCACACACTGAAACCTAGCTGCATAACCACAGGGCTAGAAGTGAGAATAACTGAACTTGGAGAGAACATACTTAAGTACCTTGGGAGAGAAAATAATTTGCACAGTAAGAATCCTCTCAGCTCAACTGTAAAATTGTCCTACACATTACCAGACAAGCTAGTAACAACTTGTGTGTCTTCACCTTACTAGGCCTATCACACAGTCAGAAAAAAATTTTTCCTCTCAGCAAAGATGGATGTACAAGATCACACAAAAGGCATTCATGTCATTTGTGTTCCCTTTGCTGTTGGGGAATACTAGCATCAAGAGCATACTATGAATTTCATTTTGCTCAGCAGTAAACCGTCCCACTGTTAAGAGCAGCATTAATATATTCTGCAAGGAACTTGTATTCATCCCCTACAGAAAGGGCTGTACAATGTGACAGCATAGGGTCCATGCACATGATAAAAAGGAAACTGGGAGACAGTGTTTGGAAATCTGATAAAACAAACAATTCCTGTGAACTCCCAGATAACAACAATCAAAAGAGTCAACTTAACCTTGGTATGAAGTCTGCTTAGTTTACTTGTTATGTCAGGACTAAAATTTACTTCAAACTATCACGTAACTATGGAATAGTGACTACATGTAACTACTGCAGAACACAGAAAGGAAACAAGGAAATGGGAGTTAAGGTTACAGAGTTAAAATTGAACCATGCAGCTTCCTAGTGGCTTCCACACCATTAACAGAAACCACCAGTATGCAGCCTTGTTTGACCTACAAGGTTTTATCTGTACTAAGTGTTGCCCAAAACACCAACAAGTAGTACTCCTGTCTGAACAAGGTGAGTGGCTTTTCAGTAACAACTCTACAGATATCACAGGAAATGTTCAAAAACTAACATCTACTTCCTACTGACACACTTTCCCTCCCCACAGCAAGTATGATTATTTCTGCCCATGCCTTTACATAGAAAAGTTCGTAAGGGAAGAGGCTGCAAGAACAGGGCAAGATGGAAAATTGTAGACAGTGGATTTTCTAATATATCAGAATGTTCCCATGACAGTTCCTGTTGGTTAAAAATACTTCCAATACCAAAGAATACAACTAAACTTGTTAACTGAAGACAAGAAAAACACTCCTGACAAAGTTACTATATTGGAAAAGGGGCTACCAGTGAGATAAACGTTTTTCATGGGACACTTTAGCAATATAACACTGTGGCCACAGCCATCACACTACATGAGCAGCAAGCACTGTTCCTTCAAAGAACAACTTAAAAGGACAAAAAAAGCAACTATTGGGAAAAAAAAAAATTGTTCTTCATCCCAGCTCCCAAGGGATTCCCATTGCTAATTGCTTACTAAGGGTTTTCTCCTCATGATGTTCTCTCAGGGCTAAGGCTACATCCCTTCATAGAGGAATGCTGAAGCATTTTGCATAAAGCATGGCTCCTTCTCCCTGCCCTAGGGCAACAGCACAAGCCAATTCAAACCTTTGAGCTGTTTTTATTTCCCTCAGGTCTGCAGGCCTTAATGAGCAGTGATGTTGTCTCTCCATATACAAGTTTTCAGCTTTTAAGAAAACACACAAGCAGCTGCAATAGCAGGCAACCTGCACACAAGTGTTCATCACCTTCTCACCCACCCACAGGGCTGCTGCTGGACCCAGCCTGGCAGCCTCCCACTGGATGTGGCCCCCAACTCCCATATCAAGCCAGGGTTGTTCAGCTCATCTGAGAAGGTTAAACGTATTCAGAAAATTGAAGGACAGAGAGAAAATAATTTCAACATTGCAACTAATTCTACTATATTCAGCCAACTGCTGACCAACTCCAGCACAGGGATTTGCCCAGAGCCTCAGGGCAGCTCACTGGGAAAATCAGAGGAAGTTTGTTCCTTGCTGTTTTGTGTAATCATGGTCTTAACATTTTTCTGGAAATACTGCCTCTCAGAACTTTGAAAGGATTTTATTACGAAATACTTTCAGAGTAGGAAGAGCATGGCAGAATGCTACAAACTTTAAGTTTGGGTGCACACGGTCACAAAAATCTGAACTGCAGCATATTTACCATAAGGAACATTAATACCTTTATTCTTAGTTTCACTTCTCAGCTCAGAAAAACAGGTCGTCACTTGCAAATGAACAAAACGCACAACCAGACTGAGCAATAACTCCAAAATGACAGATAAGCTGAACTGGCGACCACATCCTTTGGGATAATAAAAGATCATTTAGCAAAAGTGATGTCTTGCTAAAGATGATCCTGGCACTAGTCCAAGCATTCATTCCTTTCAAGGTTATATAAACCTCACAAAACTGTAAATAGAACTTCAAGCACCGTTAGTGATGGGAATGCAAAACAGGAGGGGAAATGGGTATTTGTTTTCTCTGCAAAGGCCATGGAATGCAAGCCCATTTCCTCTGTGCCTCGTTCCTCCCCATACTTTTCTCAGTCTGAACCTTAGGGATGACACAGAGATGAAGGGATTTCATACTGGCTTATCTACAGAAGATTCAGCAAAGCTTCTTGATCTCTTTGGGACAATAGAACGAAGAAGTTAAAAATCTATTTGTTTTTTCAAGTTCTAAGCTAATCCTCTACAGCTTCAGCAGCAATTATTCAGAGATGATTATTCCCAGGAGAAACTTCCAGAGACTGTTCTCAGAGAAATTCAGTATTTCATCCCTTTAGCCAAATAATATAAAAAGATGTATTACATACATATATAAATACTATATACACACTCACACAAGAATGGTCAGAGTAGATGAGTATATAATAGTGTACCAGCCATATCAAGAGTTTCCACAGGAAATGGTTATGGGATAATTTTTTCAGACATAAGCCTTAAGACAAATAGTTCTACCAGGATACTCAAGTTTCTATTTAACTACTAGACGTGTACAATTTGTATACTCTAAGTCTATTTGAATCTTGGAAGCATTAAGAAAAAAAGAAAAACACACAACACATTCTCAAGCAATGCTCTTGATGTTTTCAAAGCATGGAGCATTCCTGGCTATCAGCTGATGGTCTACTGCTGTTTTGCAGACACATCAGTACATGGGAGGCAGTTCATTTGTGTATAGAAGACTTGCAGAAGTTCCACTCTCATAAGTGCAAAGCCAATAAGCTTACGTTGCTGAAATCAAGTTATACAGTGGTAAAGATGCAACTCATTTAATCACCAGTTCATATTATTAACTACTAGTTATGGTGTTAATCAGCTGCATCTGCATTTCCTTTTAGAAAATTTTTCTGCTATTTATGTCAACATGCCAGGGTTAGCCAATAGCTAACCAGGGTTAGCTATTTTTAAATACAGATGCTATAAAGGAAAAAGGAGACGCACAGACTGAAGTAACTGTATTTCAAAGATTTCCATGTAGGGGAGCCTGAATCTTTTGCCACACAAACACACAAAGCTGCTTTTAGTACTTTTTTTATGTCTTAGTCCAAATCAATGCATATATGCATCGATACTTTAAATCATGCCTTCCTGCATTTAGGGACTTGGATCCAAGCTGAATTGGATAAAAGAAGGACAAACAGAAAAAACACCATCTAACTGGCAGTGGGTATTAAATTTTCACAATGCAAGCACTCATAAGCACTGGCAATGTACTACTTGCATTTAAATACTAGGCTAAAGATCACCACATCTTTAGAACTTCAGCCTAAAAATTCTAAGTTGAAAGGCCTACTGATAACCTGACACCACAGTTAAGAAATCAGACACTGAAAATGCCAAATCCATAAATTGACTGGTACAACAAAATACTATTAATTTTGCTGCAAATACAGATTAAAATGCAAAACCATGTACATTAATTATGTAATGGGATGTTTCAGACTTGACACCTTTTTCTACCCCATAGCCACAAGACATAAGAAGAAATTTACTGGTGACACATTTCCAGTAAGTCATGCATATCTGAAATTACATTAGAGTCTACTCCAAATCACCAAGTTTAAAGCAGCACATATCGCTGACAAACAAATTGATTTCAATACCTAGAAAACAGCAACTAGCACTATGAAAAATTGGCATACAAACTGGAAGTGATAAATACCCTGCCTACAACCAAGAGTCCACATGCTACCTACCATCCATACCACGAAAGTGACCGTAAACAAAAACACTTTGTATTGGCAACCTGTATGTTCAGATTAGGTCTGTAATTTCTCACAACTCCCATTTTACATTCTGTGGGCAGTAGCTGACATAGAATACTGAAATTGGAACATAGCATGTTATACTAAAGAGCAACAGTTTTAGCAGCTCCCTCTTACCTCAGCCTCTTTCTGCTGAAGGATTCTATCCTTGTCTACCACTTCTTCTTCAACAGGCCTATTGAACAAAAGAATGCATTGATAAGATACAGAAGTAAAATCTCCAGGAACAGATTCAAGGGTCATATTTCAGCTAATACAACAATAAGAAAAAGCCTACAGGCTACACAGGGAAAATTAAGACATTCTTAAAACCATGCTTCCCTTTTGTAAAACACCATATTTATCTCACAGAATCTGCTATTCACTCTCCATTTCTTCGAATTTGATTTCTTCACCGCTATGGGGATTTTTTTGCCATTTACTAATTAAAGATATTCCCTCCATTATCTATACATGGTACAAAAAATAACCATTAAAAACCTGTGTAGGCTGTTTCCTTTCTTCTTTAAGATCAAAAGGCTTGGCTGAATACTTACAGAGCAAAAGCGGGGACTAGAATAAGTTGATAGTAAAAATGATAAAGCACAGGTAGATGTAGAACGGATACAAAAACAAGAGCAGCTGTTTGTTTATAAGCAAAGTATTTTGCTACATATTTCTCCTCTTGAAGAAAGAACAGACTCAGCAGCAGAGACCAAAGGTGCACAAACACACACTTACTTGCCAGTTCGTTTTAGCCTCTCTGAACGGAAGTTCTCATAGTGCAAATCCTGGGTCACCTCCTGCAGGTCCTGCATGTGTGTTCTAGAACATGCAAAAGGCTATTGAACACACTGTCCTTCTTGCCAAAGGAAAGAAAAACACCCTTTTATCTTCTATTTTTGTTTTATGTAATGGGTGTATTTACTGGAAAAACAATCCTTACAGACCAAGCCTGCCATAAAGCTAGCCAAGACACTGCTTTCATGTTTACGGGTCTTTAATTCATACTTAAGTGTCCTCCCATCAATATTCTTCAAAGACCCAAAGTATCCTGCACTTTTCCTGTTCACTAATTACTTTATAGGAATTGTTTATACCAGTCTGTGCAGTGTTAAGAAACCTGTGAAGACAGTTATTCAGAAAGGTACTTCGATTTCTAAAGTATTTTTTGACTCTTAGGTGCTGTTAAGTATAAATTGTAATTGACAACTAGGTGGAGCTCCTTGGCCCACAATTTAAAATTGCTAGGCAACATCAGCTGTTAGTAAAAAAAAAAAAAAAAAAGAAAAAAAGCTTGCTCCCAATGCCCAGCAGAGGGCAATCCCTGCCCAGGAGAGACTGACATCAGAAATAAACAGAATTCAACTTCCAGCAATAGTGGGATGTCAGAAAAAAATAATCCCTTAAAGTAATCTATCGAAGCAGAAATCTGTATCACCTAAAATCATAAAGGGGTGGAGTATCATGTGCGACATAGGATTTTCTACATTGCCAAGAAGGCTGAGCTCTGCCTTTACAATACTTGTCCGTGTAATGGATCTCTGAGTAATTTTAAGAGAATTTCTGCCCCACCCACTGTACCATAAGAAAACTCCAATTTACACGTAAAGCCACCAAATCAGTTCACACAAGACAGGTATAAAAACTGCCACATATTTCCCTCAATGTAAAATACAGGAAAGATTTTCTGAAGTCAAAGATCACATGATTACAGCAGCAAAACAAGCTTGGGGGGGGTGGACAGCCAATAAAAAGTCACTCTATGTTCCCATCAGAGCTAGTTTTGTTCATGTTCTTGTAACTCTCTAGTCATTGTATCAGTTACATCACCACAGGAGATGGGATAATTTTTCCAGTACTCACACCAGCATCGTGCGCAGTTTAAGGAAATCATTGTGCTCTGGATTTTCAACTTCAACAACTCCCCAGGGATACAGGCGGCCTCTGATTTTTTTCCCTTTCACCTCAATAAGTTGATTGGATCCAATAACAGCAAAGGGAATGCTAGCCTACTTGAGACAGAGCGAAACAAGTTACTGTTATGATTTCTGACCAGCTACTTTTTTGGGGTTTTGTTTTTATTTTAAGGAAGGCACAATGACTTTTAAGTAAGAAACAAGTGAGGAGAAAAAGAAACATCAATAAATGTATTCTACGAAAATCCTTCCACATGAGAAAACCAGCCAATCCTGTTCTAGGCAATGCAACTTTTCATCATGAACACCTGTGGTTTTGTTAGGATCACTTCGTCTCAACAGAGTCACAGAAGGAAATGACGCTTTGCTTTAGGAACACTTGACTGTTGTTGAAGTACAGTTTGGGCATCATGTGTCATCTGACATAACATCATGTGTGGAAAGCTGCCAACAGAAACATACTTCTGATACAGATTAGAGTGAGACTCCAGATACATTCTTCAAGCACCTTTGAAAGTATCACAGCATAAAGAGGAAATTACTTCAGTAAAACCTTTATCATCTGCTGTAACAAGAGGAAATTTGTTAATTAGTATAATCATAACATGTGCACACACTCTCTCTTTGCTTGCACACTGAAAGGCTTAGGTTAGAAAACCGACTGAAAACCACAGTTCTTGGTGAAGAGCTGCTTACATTGAAAAGAGAAAAGAAAGTCACAACACACTACATTTGAAGTTTGGATGAAGCGGAGGCTGGAATAAAAAGGATTATAATTTAGAGTCAACATCCAAAGGAAACTTGAGTTTTCCTCTAAGCACAGTGTAGGCTTGAAGACCTACTGCAGCAAAACAATAAATTAGAAGTGAAACTTGCCTTTAAAACTCTGGTTTGTTCTTTAAACTCCTCATCTTCATCAGAATCTGCATCAGGGAGCTGATAAATCCTAATGCCATGTTCAGAAATCTCATCTAGAACCTGAGGTTTACAAAAAAGGAATAATAATAAATTATTTCATTGAAGAGGTATTAAGTTAAAATATATATACAATTGATTTACTGGTCTGTCACACCTAGAAGACTCTGAATGTTTTTCTGCTATAAGTAGTTTAACAATTCCTACAAAGTATCATTAGCTGAAATTACTATTACTTATGCTTTGAGTTTATGTACTACCAAATTATTTTATGTTCTACAAGTCTATCTTACATGACATTAATTTCATTTTACCTATGTAGAAAAATACTCAGCTTTTTTCATTTTCTATTCATTCAGAAGAGATTTGAACCTCAAATCCATAAATGTCCTGGAAAGAACAGTCCATTGTATAAAGCACTCAGCAAACAATCTACATGTTTTGAGATATAAGGAGGAATATTCAATAGAAAATTAATCACATTCTAAAAATAGATAAAAGAAGCCTACCACAGACCTGGTTAGATTTTAAAGATTTTATTTTACTACAGAAATAAAAACTAACATAATTGCTGATATTTGCCAATTACAGAGGTTCTTTTAAAGAGAGGTTTTTTTAAAAACCACTTGCTGAGAGTACTTCTGAATTAAATTGTTTGTGGTGGTATGGGGAGAGCATGAAGAATGCTTAGATTTCACAATAATTCTCTTCAGAGAGTGCTCAGATGTCTCAGCAGAAATGGTTAACTGTGTAAACTTCCTAGTTTAGTATTCCCTAATGAGCTGCAACTGTAATGCCACAACCAACACCTGAACCAAGCAGCAGCACTACTACAGTAATGAACACCTAAAATAGACAAAGCCTGTGCAAAATGGGTTGGGTTTTTTTTGAGGTAATCATAAAGAAATTCAGAAAAGCCTGTGTAAAGACTTGTACTGTAATTACTGCTGGACATTAACTTGACAATACAAACACTTCAAAATGGCCACGGGGTCTTATTATTCTCATAGTATTGTTGGGTTCCTCGATGCTTTGTTGTGATGACAACCAATAGCTACAGTATAAAACTTGTTGGACAAGAGCTTAATTATTAAACAGCTGTGTAAAATAAAACAATCCCTCACACCATTAGAAGAGGAATGGCCATGTATGAACTACAGTCATTCCCAGGATAATGTTTTCCTGCCAGGTATATAAACATCCCCCGCACTCACACACTGCATAAAATAAGCTCCCATCAAAGCAAAGCCTGATATTTTTACAAGAAAATAGAAATCTGGGAGTACATGTTGCAAATAAGCAATTAACAGTTACATTCACACAACTGCATTTAAATCAATGCATGTGATTGTTTTACAAAATAGAAGATAACTAAGTTGTCACTGAATGATAATAAAAGAGGCACAGCTGGGATAGGTGGGACAGTGCTGCAGTGCGATGCCTTTAAGTGGCTGCATGAAACAAGAAAGCACATTTAACCTGGCTGAGATCTTAGAAGATAAAATGCAAGTGAAACAATAACGGGAAAGCCAACAACAAGGGGTGCTAGAATAATATATTACAGCTGTTAGTCCTAGTGCTTTCCTGAAAGGAAAAAGAATTGCAATAAAAACAAACTGTATTTTATGGTCTTAACAATGAAGCAGCATTTCGCTTCTTCAAATCTGAATTTTATTTGCCTCAGAGGATTCTGTGTTCCTAAAGATTAGCCTTCCCATGGGAAATAAAAAAAAGTCAAAATATTAGTTTCCCTCTTATGAAGTCATTTCTTTTGAGCAGGTTTCCTTAGCAGCTTTACATGGCACAGCTTATGAAACTGCCTTGCATTTCTTCCCACTCAAGAGTTTTAAAAAATAACTTTGAATTCCAGAAAGATCAAACAGGAATTACTCCAAGCTGGGTTTCCTTTGCAAGTACCACAAACTGATCTTGCGGCTTAGTCCAAAGCAGCAAAACAAAAACATTTTACTTTAGATTGATGGCCAAATGGCAGAAACATCTAAAAAAAAGAAAATACTTCAAGCTGCATCAGCAAAGCAGGATTTTGATTCTTATTCTTGATTAGAGATTCTGTGAGCCAAGATGTTTTGAGTTAGAACAATATACAGTAACGAGACTTTCAAAGCTTTGGAACCACATGATACATCTGACTTAGTACAAACTCAGTTTGTAGAGTGACTTTTGCCAGCAGCACAAAAAGAATGAAGACTTACTTACCTGCTTCCTAACCACTACCTCAGACTACAGCATTCATCTCATTATATTTAGCCCATGCATAAATGTGGTGTCCATATACCTAAGTCAAGATTATTTTAAAGACTACAAGTACTCATTATGTCCATACTCCTGAAGGCATAAGTTATTAGACTTGTAAAAATTCACCGGGTTGGGTTCAAATCTGTTACACTTCACAGCTGAATGTACTGAATGTTCAGTCAATAGAACCTCAAAAAAGCTTCTGATCTCATTAAATTGTACTGAGCCACCTCTTGGTATAATACAATCTACCCATTGCTTTATTTAACTAAGTATATGAAGTAATTTTCAATCACAGAGGATCAACCAGGAAAGATTCAGCATTTATGTTCATTGGCCATATTATTCTATTATGAGGTTAACTGGAAATGACAGTTAAGGTCAAAGACTTGCACAACCACCAATATAGCGTTTATTACTGTAGAATTCACTGCAATGTCATATTTGGCAGGGGCTGGCCTGGCTTGGAAAGGCTCATCAAAAAAAAGCAAAATAAAACTTCAAGGCAGCAAGTAAACCTTCCAATGCAATTTATTTTAGTACCACTGCCTGTAAAGCCTTTCTCCAATGTAATGCTGATTACATCCTGGCATTTCTTGTGAACAAATATCCTAGGAGAAAAAAACATACCAGACAACATACCTACTTCCATAATTATGAAGCTAAAAAATGCATCCTCCTAATATATTAGCCCAACCGTTCTGCCGCTGTAGTAGTGTTTTAGTTTGTACCACAGGTTTTAGTTTGTATCATGGGTACACTTATTAAGCAAGTTTCCTATCACCCCAACCTACAAAATCACAGAGTCTTAGGGGTTGGAAGGAACCTCGAAAGATCCAACATCCCTGCCAGAGCAGGATCACCCAGAGCACATCACACAGGAACACACCCAGGTGGGTTTTGAATGTCTCCAGAAAAGGACACTCCACAACCTCTCTGGGCAGCCTGTTCCAGTGCTCTGTCACTCTCACAGTAAAGAAGTTTTTTCTGATATTTACATGGAACCTCCTATGCTCCAGTTTGCACCCATTGCCCCTTGCCCTATCAGTGGATGTTACTGAAAAAAGCCTGGCTCCATTGTCCTGACACTCCCTCTTAACATATTTGTAAACTTTGATTCAGCCTGCAGGATGACACAAGAGCTAGTGAGAAACAGCTATACTACATGTACTACAGGATGCTCTGAGCCCTTGTTACAAACCATTTTACTCCAACCTTGTTCCCCCAGGGTGTGTTATTGGCTGAAAATGATGAAGCCAAGAACAGGCAGATTCTCAACAAGTGTAACTGGTAAAACACAGACTTCAGTGAAAATCTTGCACCTCATGCTTCCTGAAAATTAGGTCCTTGGCCAATATCATCCACCCCTCTTCTGTTGGAATTTGCTTTATATTTGGCTTGATCATGAGAACCATGCAACTCATACAATGTTAAAGTGTTAGACCTACTCTTCTCTTCAGCCTCTCTCTCTCCTTCAGCGTCAGTGTGTCAGCCTTGGCAATCACAGGGACAATGTTGACTTTTCCATGAAGAGCCTTCATGAATTCTACATCTAATGGCTTCAGCCTGCCAATAAATAGAAAAAAAACAGGGGGGAAAAGGGTGATTTTTTTTTTTACCAGACAAAATGTATTGAAAAGTATTTATTTCAAGTATCTACATAAATAGTATTTCCAGAATAAATAAAGGCAGAGCACTTGCTTATCAACTTAGTTGTGCAAAGGTTTACCTGCAATTTAAATTATCACTATAAGATAAATTGGGTATTATAAGTTCTTATGTTTATGGATTATAAACAACTTCATACTGACTGCTTCACAACAATATTAAATGCCAAAAAGGTGACAAAGCAGAAGAGACCATTAATCTCCAAAGACCATTTAAATTGAATTGGCACTTCATTTAAAATGAAGGAAGTAACCCAATTAACATTCAAGTTTATTTTTCAGTTCAAGTAATGAACAGACTTATGAACACAATATAATGCTCTAAAGTACAAGAGCTTTTTCTTACCCATGCCCAAAGGGAGAGATGAAGTAAAAACAGCAATGGACTCTGTTGTCTATAATGTGGCGCCTGTTCAGGCCGCTCTCATCATGCAGGTACCTTTCAAACTGGTTGTCAATGTACTGGATAATTGTTTTGAAGCTGTGGTATAGGGGGCAGAAAGAGAGGCACTTTAGATCACCTTAGCTTTAAAATAATAAAAAAATGTAATTACCAAAAGGTTCAAACCAAAGGGGAAGAATCACACATTTACTAAGAGCATTTCTGTTACAAAAATGCAGCTTCCTAGCATTGTATCTATTACTGAGAAAAAAATATTTTAATAGTACAAAAAGGTATTTTCATAGCAACCACCAAGTGCCTATTTATGCCTAGAACTACTTTCAAGTGTTACTCCATCCACTGGATAAAAAGTTCAAGTGCAAGCGCAGAAAAAAAAAAAGCACTCAGTGCTGAGACGACACAGACAGGAACAGAAGATTGAGGATTTTTCTGCTTCTTTTCTGGTGGTAGGGGTTTAGGATTTGTTTTTAAATCAGCTGACAAATGACATATCCCTGATATGCTCTTTACAACCCTGACCTTAGAGCTAGGTTTCTATAGTTACTTATAAAAATTCTGGTATTCTACTCCGTTTGAATTAAGTACAAATACAGTTTTAAGTCATGCACTAAAGCATCACATGATTTATTAAGCTTTTTTTGTTACCTTACAGAATCCTTTTCTGTTGCCAAAGAAAAATAATTCCTACTTAGTTCAAGGCAATTTAAAATATGCCCTGTGAAGAAGTAAAAGAACACAAAATTTGATCATATAATCAGATACAGAGAGCAGTGACTAGAGAGAGAAAAGAAAACACAAAGCATTACTAATAAGATTGTTTTAAGATATTCCAGAGCGTGTAGACATCTGCAAACAACATTAATATAAGAGGACACTTTATATTAAGTAGTTGCAGCGGAAGGGAAACAAACACTGATGAAGATTAGGCAGATGGTTATGTCATGAACTTATCTTAAACTACTTGGGGAAAAGATGAGCAGAAAGCTTAACTTGAAAAATAATATTTCTGTTGTGAATAAAGTGCAAATATGACTAGAGAAATTTAAAGAGGAAACAGAGAAGGGAACAAAAAATAATTAGTAATCTCAAAAATGAACACACAGAACGATGGCAAATACTGTGACATGCAGCCAAGCTCAACCCTGGGCTGTGTGGCTGTAATGAAGATGATAAAAAAAAGTAACAAGAATGATGGAAGAGATCCTGAAGGGAATTTGATTTTTCAAAGTGGCATAAGCTTTTGGATCAAGGAGGAATCCACAGTCGAATATATATACACACGTTTATCTCTCTGCAAGATTTGCACCACCCAAAGTCATCCTACAAAAGACAACACAGCAAAACATGGAATTTATTTGGTTTGGAGCTTAGTGCTGCTCAAGTCTTTAAGAACTAGCACATTAATACCTATATGTGCATTGAAAAACAGTTTTATGTTTCTATTACTCTTAGATACTCCCTTCTTAGCTGGTGAAAGGTAACAAGACTGAAGACCCACAAATATTAGGACAGAAACCAAGTACAAACAATGGGAAAGCAACTATCACACACTTCTCTGGCAATGTAATTAGTTTACGTGCAGTTTTCTAGCTCTAACAGCTATAATTTTCCCTATAAATATGGCATTACTGTCCTGTACCTCCTGACTTCCGGGAAACACCTGGTTTATACCCCTGTGCTGTCACTACTTAGGAGATAGCACATCCTGTATTGTAACAACAAACAACACAACCATTGCACCTAAGCCCACTTGGGGGAAATGAACAATATTACCAGGCTGCCAAAACCCACAAAATACTACTTAACATAAGACAGTAAAAAAAAAAATAAAATAAAATAAAAAAAAATTGTTAGCAGCATATTCTGCACAGCTACCAAAGAATGATCTGCAACATGGTAACCAAGATGAAACGAGGCTATGCTCAGCAACATCAAACAAGTTGCCTGTTTTTATCTAACCTGTTGCCTGTTTTTCTCAATCATTCTTTTGATGCCAAATTTTATCCTAAATTTATGCATGAAGCAATTTTTTTCCTCCCTTCTTTAGATCCTGTCTCCCCTGTCTGATGAAAGATGTTACTTTAAAGAGATGCTTCTCTCATGACCCCAATGTCCTTATGGATGGAACAGCCATTTTATGCTTCAAACCTCCCACCATAAGGAATGTTGCTATTCTCCAAACACATGCCTAAGCTGATGCCAAGAGTATTCCTAGGTGTAGTTTGATTCTAGAACACGGAAATCCAGTCAGCACTAAATCTTCACACAGAATCAAAAAAAAAAGTCACTACTGTGAACCATGGTTAGCCCTCCTGTTTCCTTACAGGCTGTTTTAAGTATATCAGCATTTAGAAAACCAACAAATAATTTATTTTGTAGATTTTGTACAACGTATCCTCTAATAACTCATTTCCCGGTACAATACTTTTTCTTCCAATCCAGGAGACCCACTGGACAAACTCTTGACAACACAATCCTCACTAGCACATCTTCTGTGGCAGAAGATACAAAAAAATTTACTCCAGCTCCAATACCTGAAAGTCAAACTCTAAAATTAAGCCCTTTCATCAAAGCAAAGACAGTAACCAAAAGCCATTAGGAAACCTGCTCAGGAGAAAGATATTTGAAACAGGATCAGCAACTGCTGCCTCCTAGAGACATCGTACCAGTTTGATTTACAACTGTTCACAAATAACCTCAGTGAACTCTTATCACCCCAGAAAAAAAAAAGTATTCTGCACAAATTGCCGCTTTCCCAGAAAAAAAAGTGCTTTCTAAAACTTGGGTTAAGATCAGCGCCACCTACTGGTTAACTACAACTGCAGTAAATGCTCCCAAACACAAAATAAGTTCAAGAACACGAACGTGTTGTTTCCTCTGAATCAATAAGGAAGGAAGGCAGTTGCACTGGGTTAGTCTCAACTACAGTTTGAAACAAAGAGTCTATCCATCCAAGTCCCTGTGACATCCTGTAAAGGCTAAAAGACTTTGTCAAAATGACAGTCGTTTGCAGTTCAAAGTCTTTTTACGTGACAAGAAAATGAGACCAGAGAGAGACAATTAACTGCATTTTGTCATATACAATAACTATTTGTTCCCATAATTTATTTTTATGTTTAAGATTTGTTGCAGAACACTAAGTATAAAATTGTTCTGCTGCGTCTGAATCATCCTGGGATGACTCTGTTTAGCAAGTCTCCAAAAAGAAAGGGGAAAAATCTGAACACATAGGTCTCTGAGAAACATCTTAACAGAATAAACAAAGGGCATTAGAACACAATCAACAGGAAGAGCTCCACGTAACACAATGCAGGGCTGCAGAGCCCCGAGCTCCAGCGGAAGGAAGCTCTAGTCAACAGTGCACAAAATAAGCATGACTGTGCTGCAGTCCAGAAAGATGCCTTAGTGCTCCTCTCCAAGTTCAACTATTTTTATTTAATAAAGTGGGAAAAGTGAGAGGAAAAATCAAATTCCCACTACAGCTTCCCTTTCAAACTTTCATTTAACATAGAATATAACTGCACTGCCTCTGCTTTTGTTGTGTTTCTACAGTGGTACAGCAGAGAAAAAAATCATGTCTGATAATATGCTTCAGAATGCTCCAGGTAGCACAGCATTCTGTCAAGAAAAGATCACAAAACATTCTATTAGCACTATAGATATTTTATGACCTATTTGCCTCCTTCCTGATCTTTAACTTACATTGAAGAGCTCAAATCAACCAATATTAGCTTTATGGTACTTTTGTCTGCACAGTGACACTTTGTTTCCCTCAGGATTACTACTGCCACAAAAAAAAAGTCAAAAAAATTAATGGCTAAGCAAAATAAATATTGCTAGCAGTTCTTAAAAGACAACCACATGGAAATCCAAAGTTTAGCTTCTAGTTGCACTGGAATAATTCAGGCATCCTAGTAAGCACATTAGTACACCTTATCTTTACTTTAAAAAGTTATCACAAGATCAGTCTTTCACAAAGTATATGAGTGTGATGGCATGAAAATTACATTGATTTATTAACAAATTAATTCTAATTCTGTTACTAACAAATGTTCCATCATAGCTACTTCACCATTTTCTTTCTTCATGATCGTTATACTAAAGCAATTAAGTATTTGTCCAGGGTATCTGCAGACAATTATTTAAGCTGTTAAAGACCATCAGCAATATTCAGGCCAGAGAAAGAGAAGCAGTAACTCCTTCATTAAAATAATGCACTACTATCCAAATTGCTAGCAGTACATATAAAGGAAAGGGCATAAAATATACTGCCTTAAAAATATGGAAACTGGATGGGCCAGAATTCAACCCTAGCAGAGCAACTCTGCAGACAAGAAGATGACTGCAATTGCCACAGACAACCTTACTGGAGGACTGGCCATTAAATTTAAGGGAGAATCACAGCCTAAAAAACACTATCCAAGCTTCTTAAAAACATAAACAAGCAGTTTTAAAAATGAAACAGATTACAAACTAACACAATTTTATTAGAAGTGTGTATTTTAGGCAATAAAACCTGCAAGAAAAATTTTATTTGAAAACTCACACAAGCTAAATGCTTATGGCATTAATGGTATGAAGACGAGCATGCAGAATGCAGAGATGTTTAGAAAATCTTGCCTAACTGCAAGAACTCAGAAAGGACTCTCTACTATGAAATCAAGCTAACACTCCATTAAAGGTAAAAATAATGAACCTGTTAGTTCCTTTTTGTACATGAGTTATCAAAAAATCACCAGCTGAATCACTTAGGTTGAGAGACAGACACACTAGCGTAGTGTTTGCCTACGAGACAAAATCAAGCAAAGCGGTATTTACACACATACCAGTCCTGGCTGTTAATGGCATCTCCATATCCCGGCGTGTCAACTACCGTTAAACGCAGTTTCACCCCTCGCTCCTCTATCTCCACTGTAGAAGCTTCAATTTGAACTGTTCTCTCTATTTTCTCTAAAATAATGGAACATTTTGATTGTTATTAAACCTATCAATTGCTGCGGAAACCTCTGCAGGAGAGAGCAAAAGAGGAGGAAATGCAATCTGGTAACCTACATGACATAAAATATTCTAAAAAACCCCACAAGCTAGCCAGTCAAAACTCCATACTACATTTTCGTAGATGAACAAGCAATTAAAAAAAAAAAAGGGGGGGGGGGGGAATTTGCTCATGACAATATGCAAAAATAAAATTAGAATACTCAAAAGCACACTAGATTTTTTTGGTCCTCTAACCAGGATTTAAGGCATTGAAGGCAAAAAGCATTAGAGGAAACGGGGATTACAGAAAACCACATTTAGGTATATTGATAACTAAAAGGTTTGAAGGGTTGTTTTGCTTTTAATAGCAATTGATGAAGAAACAACAAAAGCTGAGTCTTTGAAAGAAAATATAAACAATAACAGCTCAAAAAATATTTGGAGGATTAAAATGCATCTAGGTAGCATGAATAAAGGGTCTCATGGGCAAAGTTATCATCAGAATGAAGCAATATAAATTGAAAGAACATGGAACATCACAGGGGATGTCCTGCAGGAACTGCAAAACCATGTTTACCTGCAGCTCCAGGAATATAACGTTCTGGATAAAGATCAGTCAGAAACAGGCTGTTAATCAAAGTGGATTTTCCCAAGCCAGACTCACCTACAAGAAAATAATTCAAGTTATTAAGCATATACATATTTTACTCCAGGCTTCTTAAAGCACGTTCTCTTTCCCCAAGCCCACATTATGAAGGAAAAATAATTTGTCCATTAGGATCCACCCTAGCTCTTGATACAAAAACATCAAAGGTTCAGCTAAGCACTTTAAAAACACAGGAAAAACAAGCCTCTAATGTTTTTATAAGTGTTACATGAAAATGTTAAGTTTACTGTAATAGATTTCACAATAAAAGCTGAAAGGTCATACAGCACTTTGACTACAGATGTAGAGATAGTTATGTTTCCCTTCAGGGAAACAGAAGCTTTTCTTCATTTGCACTTACAAGTCAGGAGCTGCCCATTGAAAATTTGAAAGCTTTAAGGTTTTCCTAAGCTAGAAACTGAACCTGGAACACTTGGGAGGGAGAATGAATAAACCAATCCCAAACTAACAGTGTAGCTTTCTACCCTTATAGTTAGGCTACATACATCCTATAAAACATTAAACAGAAAATCATAAGAAAATTATTCCAAAAAATCACCTGAGAAGTCCTGTAATTCTAGAATTTCAGGTCATACAAATTTTGTCTTACATCAAAGTAAGAAAGTTAAACCTGTAAGTGCAATGACTAATTCTGTATTTCAAAAAGTCACTTTTTCCTCACCCAAGGAATCAGTCATTTACACCACCTGGCCATGTCATTTTAGATGCTACCAACCTAACCTTAAGAGACAGAAATGGTATCTGTCTTTATCATCACAAACTACATGAAATAAAAAAATCTCCACACTTATCACAAACTGCCTGATTTACAGACATCACTAAATACTCAGTCACCAAATAATCCCAAACCGTACTACAGGGCAGAGAATAAGAAGGAAGTGTTACACATCTCATTTTCATTTTTCAGTAACATGTCATTCCAAGGTAACTACTACAAAAAAGGCAACAGATACTGTGGTCTCCCTGTGCACTTCTATTACATTAAACTGACTCAATCAAGTATAATTCAACAATTCACCTGAAACATCTCTGTGCCTAAAGGACATCTCATCAGAGACTGCTGCAAGTGCTCATCACAGAACAGGTAAATTAGAAGTTTAGCTCTAACACCAGAGTGAGTCAGCACAGAACAGCAGAAAACCCTAAAACAGCAGCACCATTTCAACACCAAGATATTCAGTATGTGCACTCATGCCTTCAGCTGGGGAACTGGGAGTCAAAGAAAGATTAAGCAACTATCCCTGCCATCTGATGATGAGTCAGGAATACAAGAATGTCTTGTTGGCTCAAAGTCATCATCTTTAATCTCTACAAATATGCCCTCCTACCAAACATGACAAAATTGCAAGAGACTTAATTAGAGAGTGTACAGAGGTTCAGTTTTTCTTCTGTATAACAGTCAGTTGCTAAGTAGGAAGACATACCTGTCCATGTGAAAGAAATTTTGTTCTTGTTGATTAACAGTCAAAAATACTTAACTTACTTACCAACTACCATCAGGGTGAATTCAAAGCCCTTCTTCACAGATTTCCTGTGAACCTGGTTGGGCAGATTAGCAAATCCCACATAGCCGGCAGAGTCGGAAAACTGCCAAGAAAACAAGAGTGGGTATAAATGAAATTCCCTTCCCCCTAAAAAGTTGAAACAGAGTTCAGGTGTTTCTATACAATAAAGTGCAGAGGTATATAAAGCACATTGAAAAACAGAAGATGAAACCCTTTTTGCTGCTATAGCAAGGCAGACCTTGAAACAGGCCCATTTACCCAGCAGTCTGATATAATTAGAAATGTGTTAAGTACCTTGAACTACGCATACACAAAAGTCTCTCCTTGGATAAAAAAAATATGTAGAAGCTTGCAAGAATGCAGTATTATTAGTCTTAAACTGTCAACATAGCTAAAATCCCAGAGATTTTAAGCTAGAGGTCAAAAATTTGTTCAAATCTGTGCAAATTTGGTATCTGCTGGTACTACTATCTTCTATAAAAATAAACACTGCATACAGAAGGAAAAAGCAAGCACATTGTACAGTAATGCAGAAGTTACCAAGATAGATCTCTCTGTGATTGTATCTTGTGCTTGCTAAGCTGTTCACCTGTCTTCACAATGTTAAACTCCTAACACAAAAGCAGGAAAAAGAAATGTGACTGAAAAACTTATCAAAGAGACTTGGGCTGTAAAAAGGGGAGTCTGATCCACCATCTGTTACCAATTGACTGAAAACCTAACAGGAGCCTAAACAAGAACCACAGCCATTGATTCAGGGACCTATGAGCTAGCTGGAACCAAACACTTTCTTCACAGATGAGTTTATGATGAGAAAGTTTGTATACAATGCCACTTCCAGTGGGGCAGGAGAGGATCGAGGGGAAATTGCTCAGAAGGCAATTAAGTTATTTGCTAACAATGCTTTTTAAACCCATCCAGACAGGCACAAACATTAGAAATGAAGGTTTGTCAAAAGGAAATTTCCTTAGGTAAAGGCACCATTCTAACCGTGTAAGCAAGCACTGAATGCCTGGCAAACATTCAAAAGCCTATTACTAGAATCACATGCAAGAAGCTCTGTTTCTACTAAACAGTTCCTTTTAGGAAATGCATCTGAAGAAACAGGGTAACATTTATTCACTATTTTATCACTTTGGTAAAACCAGAAGTATTTTCACAAGTTGAATAAACAAAATATTGGCTATGCAGCCATCTCTTTACCTTCACTTTTTCACCTGACTGAGACATGTTTTGTCACTCCAAGTTTCAAACACTGCAAAAAAAAAAAAATTCAGAGTACATGTTAGCTGAGTTTCATTTTAATTTTGAGCTGATCAACTGCATATAATAATCACATTTTATTCTAGCAGAACTGAATGTCATATACCCAAATATTACTAGAACAAACACGTCATAATGAAAATAGCTGCTTCTGTGAAGCTGTTAACAGGAAAGAAATTCTACAGGATTACAGAAACAGAACACTGTTTAAATACGTAAAAGCTTTAAAATAGAAAGATTCCTTTAAAACTTAAAATATCAAAATCCTTAAATATCCTTAAATATCATTCATCTATCCTTTAAAGAAGAAAAAATATCTACTGAAAGCTTAAAGCAACCTGAAATTCAAATATTCTGTTCCCAACCCTCCGTACAGAATAGCATAGGGAGGTCCTTTTCCCTTCCATCTTGCCCCCTTCCACTTACAAACTGTGTGTTTTAAAGATGGATTAACAGATAGGTGAATGTAATCTGTTGTTAAAAAAATAGTATTTGAGACTTATGCCATACACAACAAATATCTCCTGAGATCAGGACACCTGTGGGATATCCAGGTAATGGTTATAGCATTATTTTCAGTCACTGAACGGGAACACTACAGTGAACATTGCAGAACTTTGTCACTTGGCTAACCCACACTGGACATGAAACTTCACCCTGATCTGAAGGACTAGCAAAAAGATTTGTTCTTCAGTTTCAGACACCCAGAACAGCTGGGTTTTGGCAAGCCCTTATCTTTTTACTCAAGGATGTTAGCTGTGCTATAGATTAGCTATCACAGCAGCAGTGAGGCTCTTTCATTTCAAGCGGCCACAGAGGGAGACAGGAAACGCAGAGGCAGCAGGAGCACTTCACAGCTTGGGTTGTTGACAACGCAGCTCTTGGCCTGGGAAAGCAGGGAAGTGACCCGTGCAGGCACCTGTGTGTTCAGACAGAAGCACTTTCCTGTCGGGTAGTGGGAGTCACTCTAGCAGGATATGGTCCAGTTTCTGACACCAGCACTTTAACAGCCCAATCCTAGCAGAGAAATGCTAAGCTTGGAAAAATTGAAGTTAGCATAACTGCAACTTGGAGTTTTAAGGAAAACATGTCTTCAGCTCACATGACATTCCATGTGCCCAAAAGCAGTCATCCAAACCCTGGCAGCTGTGTAGACATCAGCCACCCTGTAAGCAAGGAAAGTTGTTTGGTTTTGGGTTTTTTTCTCCACAAACTATTTTTCCTCCATTCCCAGTTCATTTGCTTGCTCCTGACAGTCTAACATATCCATTGCCTGGATAACAGGGAGGTCCTGCTCCCAATCGTGTTATGACTGCTTCTAATTGGGTATTCCTCAAAACAGCCTGGGGAACTTCCCTTAAGAATGGTTTTGGGGAAAAAAAAAAAAAAAAAAAAAAGCTTATTTTTCTTTGACCAATATGCCAGGGCTCATTCCAGAGAACCAGTGTTACACATACCTAAAGACAGTCACAGCCTCACTGACCAGTGTAACTCAGTGCTCTTCTGTTCACATCTTGTTTCTACCTTTGGAAACTGTTGTCACCTTTGTCTCTAAAATCAGTAACATAATTCAAGTTTAGAAAAGTCCACAAATAGTCACTGCCCAAGTGCCAACATAGACAGACCTTCTGGCCCATTTCTCATAGTGATGCCAGATGAAAAGTCACTCAGAGCAGCTGCCTACAGTTAAAGGTGAGAAGAGGGAACAATTCAGATTTAAATGCTTGGCAAATTCTCTAATCACTTCTGCTTTAACCTGACAGTATAGTCAAATCCATTGTAGCAATACCCAAGCTACTCAATTAAAAAGCAGAAGAGTCAAAATTGTAAACTGATTATGACACATTTGGTTTAAAAATCAGTCTGTCATCTTCAGTAAATCATTCCACGAACAAAACTTACAAACCCTTTTTCCTGACAGGCAAACCACAGTCACCTTGTGTCTTACTAAGTTGCTGTAGCCAAAGCTGCAGGACAGCTGCTCTGACCACATCAGGACTGAAGCACATGCTTAAATGTCTGCGCACAGCAGGCATCCTAGTAGTTATTTCCCACTAAATTTTGTTAAATAGAAATATGCTAAGTAAAAGTTAGCTGAACAAATAAAAAGATAAAACTGCTGTTCCACAACATCTAAATAAGGCACTGAGGTTCAAATGAATCCTGACATTCAGCCTCAACACATTTTACAATTCATAACACTGCCCTCAAGAGGTTTCCTAGAAAATTATTCAACCAGCCAACGTCCCCAGATAACCATAAGCCATGTGCCTGAAGCTTTACCACATCATTACAAATCAAAACTTTAGAACTAACAGAATACTGTATGTTTCACCTCCTTACACCAAACGACCCAAACTTGTCAATGGAGTAGGCTACTCTGTGCACCCATGTCTGCTGAAATCCTGAAGCCTGTCTGCATACGACTGAGTCAAACACTGAAATAATGTGAAGTTGAGTGTCTGACAACACTCTAGATAGTTCCAGATCTGGAAACAGCAATCATGGAATCATTTAGGTTAGAAAAGACCTTTAAGATCATCAAGTTCAACCGTGTTCTATTTTTCATCAGTTTTCTGCAATATTTTTTTTTTTTAATTAACAGCTAAGACAAAACAGAGCAACCTACAGCTGCCTTCAGATTTTCAAAGGACTATTTCAATCATTGTGAGATGAGAAAAACAGCACATGAAAAATGTTTCAAAAAGAAGGGGAAAGATAAGATACAATTGAATTAACATGGAAGCAGCAGTGAAACTTTATTTGGGCCCCATTTAGCAGGTCTAGCAGAAAAAAGGAACACTGTGCTACAGTACAGCAATGTCCAAATCAGGGGTTTTTTTTTAACAGTGGATAATGTAACAAAGTTTCATTTTTGGATGCAAACAAATTCCTGTCTTAACCAATATGCTGTTCATCAAGGTAAGGGAGCAGATTCCCACCAAGTTCAGTTTCGGTTGCCTCCTCTACAAAGAGAGAGGGCTGGAACATGCCACCCCACTGCCTTCTGCTAAGAAAAGTATTCCAGTGAAAGAAAAAGAAGGGGAAGGAAAATGGGTCATTTCCTTTGTTCCTGTCAGGATGCAAGAAGTAAACTGTTCAGAACAGGGAGACTGGGAGCTTCTTAATAGGAACTAGCACAAAGAAAACGCAATGAAGAATGTTTAAAGAGTGATTCCATATAAGGATATTACACAACATCTTTAAATAATCACTTCAGAGTGACCTCAACAATCACCCCTACAAACAGCATAGCCCTCCAGATTTGTAAATGATGCCTCTTTCTTCCCATCTGAGATTATATCACTAAAGAAGTATTTAATAGCTCAATAAGGAATCACAGAAAACAGTAAAGACTCAAGGAAGTTTCCAAGTGCTGGAAATGGCCTCAAAACAACACTAACATTCTGAAGTCACATTTTCAGACCGAAAGCAGACAAAGAAACCAGGAGTATCTCAGTAAAATATCAGTATTTGTGGTTTCTCACAAGAGCTACAAAAACCCACTAGGAAATGTCAGAGTCAAGTATCGAGTCACATAAATAAATAATTTTCAAAAAATATTTAGAACTTCTCCAAGAATCCTGCATAGAAAGAAACAAGGAACTTGTGTGATAATTAATAATTCGCTCACTCACTGTATTCCAAACTGGATATAGGGGTATTCAAATACAAAGCAGTTACCTTGATTTTTTTAAACTGATGCTACCAAAGTTCTGTGAATTACCCAATTCTGTCAAGCAACAGGGGGTTGAGCAGAGCCTGTTCTGTGTGTCACACTTTGCTCATAGCATGTCCTCACCTCTGGTAGGAAACCCCCTCCCAAAAGTTCCCAGGGAAAAGGTCACTCCCATTGTATCAACAATCCCAGGTGATATCATTTTCTTCACTAGAAACAGACCTCACAAACTGAAGGAATCTGGTTTTACAAGTTAACAATTGAACACATTCCTTCATTGCTCCTTTCCAGGAAAATAACTGTATCACTTCCACGAAAAACAGAATTTAATAGCAAATGCAACAACAACTGATAAAAAAACCAAAACACAACCCATACAAAGCTCCTGCAGGTAGACCAAGCAAAATGTAAGTCATTGTTTTGCCTCTGAATTAGTATTTAATACTTATAAGTTTTACAGACTGCGTGTCAATAACATATTTGACTCAATGATACATGGGGAATGCAATACTCTTCATCAAAACTAGTCCCATTTCTGTGTCTTTAAAAACCCTGTGACTTAAAAGCACACATATGCACAGCAAAGGGAGGCAAGAACTAAGCAATTAAGAGAGAAGAATCATGCATGAGCACTGGTTTTAAAAGTGTCTAGGAAAAGCAATGCATTACTCTAGAGCTCTAATCCTAAATATTTTTAATTAAAGTTCCATTTCAATGTTACCATATTTCTCTAGACAACTCTCTTACTGTTCTTTCAATACAGTCACTTAAAAAGCACAAAGGATGCAGTGATACAATTCACATTAATGATGAGTCTTAAGGATTACGGGCATCCTACCCAAGCAGCTTCTTAAGTGTTTTCCCAGAGATACTGTATCGAGAAAAATACTGTAAAAGAGACCTGTAAATGTGAAAAACAGGGACTTTTCCTGAATTTAAAACATATGAACTGTGATCACTCAGCAGAAACAGGCACCTCTGCTTCACACCCAAAAAGCTTAACTATAATTGTGTACATAAGCAATACATATTTTAAAACACTTCTAAGTCCTATGATACCACACAGTCTCTAACTCGAATGTGAACAATAACTTAAGCCCTAAAAAAAAACAAACAAAAAAAAAAACCCGTGTAAAGTGCTCGCTCCTCCCGCTGCCAGCCCCGATGGGGGTGGCTCTGGGCAGCGGTGGGCTCTGCCGCTCCCTGCAGCATCCCCGGTTCCCAGCACAGGCCGCGCTGAGTGTTGCAATGTTAAAACCATC